GCTCCCACTTGACAGGTGAGCCCGCAGCAGGGCTAAAGATAGAAAAATAACTACCTGCCCGGCACCCGGAACTACATGACCTGGGCGTTGGGTGATACAAGATCAACATCACTGGAGATTTTAGTGTCCCAGAAGCCTGCAGGGGGAAGCAGGGGACCGAACTTCCATGGAGAACTGAGCCGGAAGCGGGAGTAGGAACCTATCCAAAAAAAAAAAAAAAACGGTACCGGCTCCCCCCCCTGCCCCAGAAAGAATGCAAAAATGTGACAGTGGAGGGTGAAAACAAGTGCAGCTTCCTCTTTGGGTGGAGCTCCGCTTTAAACTGTTATATGCCTAGGCATATAATGTAGGGGTGCATCGCAATTTCAGTGGCCGACATGGCCGGGCATAGAGATTAGAGAAGGAAAGATGGCCTCCACTCATCTCTATGCCCTTGGAGGACCGGAGCGATGTCACTTCCGGTTACGGCCATTTTTTCCTTGAAGTGCTAGATCAATGCTATTTTTGATCTAATGCTTTACATTGCAGAGGAGAGATGTGGGGTCTCATTGACCCCACATCTGTCCATAAAGAGGACCTGTCACTAATTATTTCTATCACAAGAGATGCATGCATTCTTTGTGATAAAAATAAAAGTGATTAAAACATTTTTTAAAGGGACAGTGCAAAGAAAAAAAAAAAAAAGTTTAAAGTTCCCCCGTTCTCGCACGTAGTGGTGAACACATACGTAGGCCACGCCCACATATGTAAATAGTGTTCAAACCACATGTGAGGTATCGGCACGAACATCGGAGCAAAAGCAATAATTCTCACACCAGACCTCCTCTGTAACTTTACATTGCTAACCTGTAGAAATTTTTAAAGCATCACCCATGGAGATTTTTAAGTACTGCAGTTTGAGGCCATTCCGCGATTCGCAATTTTAAAGTGTGACATGTTGGGTATCTATTTACTCGCCGTAATATTTTACAAAAAAAAATTGGGGTATATATTGCGTTGTTTTTTTAGTCAAAGTGTATTTCTTTAAAAAAATATATATTCCTTTTTAAAAACTGTGCATTTCGGTTTTCGGCCAAGTGCATTTTGAATTTTCATTTTCGGCAGTCTTCAGCGGAGGTTTTCTCAGCTCAGCACACCCTCCTGCCTACCTGAGCTAAGGGCAGATGGATTCCAGGAATTGCTAGACGACTCATCTGCCCTTACTCAAGATGGCCACAGCCAGAAATGTTAGAGGGGGTGTTTTTCAAAGTGATTTCTCAGCAAATAAGAGACATGAATGGATGGGGGAGTTTGCTTTGAATATTAAAAATTATTTAAATAACATTTTTGGTTTGTGTTGCTCAGATACAGTGTAGTACTTTAAATTTCCAGAAATACAACAGGAAGTTGGAAGATATCTTCTGAAGGGTTGGGAGTTCCCCTTTTAGAAAGCTGTCACTGGGACAAGTGTCCCCACTGGATGAATTCCCCTCATCTCTTGATCTGGGGACAACTCAAAATTTCTGGACTTTCCTTCCTTTCTCTGGAACAATGGCCCCTACGTCTTAGGCCCCCCCCCCCCCCCCCACACTTGTGCGCTGCACTATTGTTCCTTTTTAGCACATTTTTGCATGACAGCATAGGGGAGCCCACTAACCAAAAAAAAGATTTAAAAATAAAAAAAAAAACTGCCAAAAGCAGCTCCTGCACATTTTCAGGGGGCGAGCCTCGAGCGTTCCCCCGCATGTTTGCTGCACAAAAGGCATATATTTCCTAGCCGCATCTGGGATACCCTTAAGCCTGCTTTCACACGGATCCTTTTTCTTCTGCTTTTTTTATATGCAAAAGCGGAAGAAAAACATGTGACCATATATTCCTATGGAACTCTTCACACTGATACTTTGCAGGTCTGGTGCATTTTTCAGTCTTGCATGCTGCATTTTTGCTATGATTAAAAAAAAGCACCAAAAATGCACCTCTCCATTGAAATAAAAACACCTGCAGAGCGTATTTTGGGACACACGTCATGTAAATATTACCACAACCACGGTATAATCGCATATGCATTTTTGCCATGTATTAGTGTGAAAGTAGCCCAACAATGGCACTGGAAGCACAATGCACGTTCACTCACAGGTGAATGGAGCCTACTACAGGGGTGAACCTCCTAAGGGCTCATTCTCTGTATTTCTGCAGTAGGTACAGCCATGTGTTTACCTTCAGCCAGTACAAATCAATGAAAGGCTGACAATATCAGCGGCTGCTAACAGGTGATTGCACAAAGAGTGGATTACGTATTGATATAGACAGAGGAGTGGCTCTGTATGCTGTGTGTGTCCAGGGTGGATCATCTGTCCTACCAGCAGGCTCCATGTGCTGCTCCATGTGCCATTCCATGTGGACATCCGCTTTTGCTTTTAAAAAAAGTAGAATAAAAAAAAAAAAAAAAACACGTGACTATGTATTCCTATGGAACTCTCTACAGTTTTGGCACATTTTTCAAAGTCTTCTTGCATGCTGCATTTTTGGTGCAAGTTTGGTGCTCATCCACCTTACCAACCATTTAGTGTCTGCTACCCCTCTCTGCCAATCCCTCCACTGGCCTCCACTCAGTGTCCTCCATCCCTCTCTGCTAATCCCTCCACTGGCCTCCACTCAGTGCCCTCCATCCCTCTCTGCCAATCCCTCCACTGGCCTCCACTCAGTGTCCTCCACCCCTCTCTGCTAATCCCTCCACTGGCCTCCACTCAGTGTCCTCCACCCCTCTCTGCTAATCCCTCCACTGGCCTCCACTCAGTGTCCTCCACCCCTCTCTGCTAATCCCTCCACTGGCTTCCATTCAGTGTCTTCCACCCCTCTCTGCCAATCCCTCCACTGGCTTCCATTCAGTGTCCTCCACCCCTCTCTGCCAATCCCTCCACTGGCGTCCATTCAGTGTCCTTCACCGGCTTCCATTTAGTGTCCTCCACCCCTCTCTGCCAATCCCTCCACTGGCTTCCATTCAGTGTCCTCCACCCCTCTCTGCCAATCCCTCCACTGGCGTCCATTCAGTGTCCTCCACCGGCTTCCATTTAGTGTCCTCCACCCCTCTCTGCCAATCCCTCCACTGGCTTCCATTCAGTGTCCCCCATCCCTCTCTGCCAGTCCCTCCACTGGCCTCCACTCAGTGTCCTCCACCGGCTTCCATTTAGTGTCCTCCACCCCTCTCTGCCAATCCCTCCACTGGCTTCCATTCAGTGTCCTCCATCCCTCTCTGCCAATCCCTCCACTGGCCTCCACTCAGTGTCCTCCACCCCTCTCTGCCAATCCCTCCACTGGCTTCCATTCAGTGTCCTCCATCCCTCTCTACCAATCCCTCCACTGGCTTCCATTCAGTGTCCTCCATCCCTCTCTGCCAATCCCTCCACTGGCTTCCATTTAGTGTCCTCCATCCCTCTCTGCCAGTCCCTCCACTGGCTTCCATTCAGTGTCCTCCATCCCTCTCTACCAATCCCTCCACTGGCTTCCACTCGCCCAACAAATAAAATCCAAATTACTAACAACTTACAGAGCAATTCACAACTCTGTCCCCAGCTACATCACCAACCTGGTCTCAAAATATCAACCAAACCACTCTCTAAATCCTCCAAGACCTCCTGCTCTCTAGTTCCCATGTCACCTCCTCCCATGCTCGCCTCCAGGACTTCTCCCGAGATTCTCCCATCCTATGGAACTCCCTACCCCAATCTGTCCGGCTGTCTCCTAATCAATCCACCTTCAGACGATCCCTGAAAACCTCTCTTTTTAAAGAAGCCTATCCTGCTTCTACCTAGTAAACTGTCTTTTATTTCCTCCATCAGCTCATCCCCCCACAGCTATTACCTTTTGTATCACTCAACCCTTCCTCCTAGATTGTAAGCTCTAACAAGCAGGGCCCTCTGTTTCCTCTTGTACCAAATTGTACTGTAACTCTAATGTCTGCCTTCATTTTGTAAAGCGCTGAGCAAACTGTTGTCGCTATATAAAATCCTGTATAATAATAATTAAGAAAGCACCTCCCCATTGAAATAATGGAAAACACGATAAAAACACATCCACAGCGCGTTATTTGGGACACGTCATGTAAAAAAAAAAATCATACCGAAACCGCGGTAAAATTGCATATACATTTTTGTCGTAGATCAGTGTGAAAACTGCCTTTCATTGGTCTGTACAGGCTGAAGGTAAACACATGGCGGTACCTACCGCAGAAATAGACAATGAGCCCTTAAGCTGGCCATACATAGATTTTCGTTGAAGAATTTTTGTTTCAAGAATATTCGTTTGATTTTCTAATCGTTAGTGGGGTCAAATCGATGTCAGTTTTCGATAGCAGCGACCAGAAAAATTCGAAGGAGGTGGGAAGAAAAACTTCTCAATCAAATTTTTGCCGATCATTCAGAAATGACATTCCTTTTAAAATCAAATGTTAAAAGCAGAAACCAATTTCCGAACGACAATCGTCCATTCATTGAAAGTGCCAAGAATTTTCGTACAAATATTCTCGGCCGAAAATCTACACGTGTATGGGCAGCTTTAGGGAAGTTCCCCCCCCCCTCATTAGTCCCCCCCTGTATGCTTCATGTGTCCAGGGTGGACCATCTGTCCTACCCGCAGGCTCCATGTGCCATTCCATGTGGACAGCTGCCATTGATCTGTACAGGTAGAGCGGCTATAGCTGAACGCAGACGCCCCGCCATATCTGCAGGAAATACTGTGATCTGGGTGTCGTGCACACGTGTGAATGAGCCCCACAGCAGTAAAAGGCTGACCCTCCCCCATGATCTACAGCTGTCAGAGGAGGCCAACCACCTGTCAGTGCGCGGTCCCTTTAAACTCTTCACAGCCACGTGATTCAGGAGGAGTGGTCTCATCGCCTTCGGTTGCTATGGGTTACAGCTGAGGGAAGCAGGGAGCGGTGGCCTATGACAACCAGGCGCCTGGTGTTCTCGTTGCCATGGGCAACAGCCCCTGCTCCTCCCCCGGTCTCATGTGACGAGTACCTCTCTTGTTCTTGGTGCCGTGTTTCCTGGCGGCGGCCAGCTCCTGCTCGATCTTCTTCTCCAGGAACTCCTGCTTCTTGGTCAGCATCTCTTCCGTGTCCCGCAGCTTCTGGATGGCCTCTTGGGGGCTCGGGCCTTTGGAGCCCTTACCCCCGGTGCCGAACAGCTTCCCAAACACCGACATCTCCCCCCGGTGTGTCCGCACTGCCGAGCCGCCCTCACTTGTGACCGACCGACTCCTTCCTCCACTGCGACGACAACAACCGGACCCGTCCCGTCAGACCCTGCGCGCTGACGTCACCGCATCACGCGTTCGGCTGGCAGTGATGGGAGATGAGTCATGGGGTCCTCTGTGTGAGCGCGCGGCGGCCATTTTGCATAAGGGCAGCTCTGCGCTAACATTGCCATAACGCGACAAGGCAACACAATTCGGTGCGCTTGGAAACAGTAACGCTCTCTTATGTCATATACATGTTAGTCAGCGTCCTTCAATTAAAAAAATACTCGTATTAGGCAAATGTATATTTTGAATGTTTGTACAATATGTGCACTCAAATACACAAAGCAGCAAGTAATTTTGATATGACTCAATCAAGTATTGATAACTGAAAGTGGGAATTAATAAAGAGCTGATTTTGATATGGTTTTGCCAGTATCAAAGATGGCCGCCGCCGTGGGACGACGACGGATAAGTAGGGCAAACCCATGCTGGGATGACGCGTTACGTCGAGGCAAGGAAGGACGGCGTTGGGTGCGCATGCGTAACTGAGGCAGGGTGGGGACTGGGAGGGAGCGTTTGACGTAAATAGAGCTACACCTGGAAACACAGACAGTATCAGGAGGTGACGAAGTCATAGCGGGAAGTTATTGTCAGTCTCATGACCTGAACTGTTCAATCAAGGCTATAATCGGCAATACATAGATGTAGTCGTAGGCTGAGGAAGGTGGGAGGAGTTATCTTTGAAGTCACACTAGATGCTCCTCAGTTATGATGAAACTCCGGGTTCCCCAGTCCTCCAATCACATCGATGAACTATGGCCATGTTTCCATATAAGGGCACTGACCACCAGTATCCCGCCCCTTTGTATACCTCTACTGCTGGGGCAGCAATGACCTGGCCTGCAGCTGAGGGAGATTTCCCATCACTTCCTGTTGTGTAGATACAACAGGAAGTGTGAGGAATCTCCCCATAGTGAGAATTCCCCTTGTATATCGTCACCAGAACAGATATTTACTGTTCCACAGATACAACAGGAAGTGAGAAAAAAATCTTCCTAAAGTGAGGGAAAGTCCCTGTTATAAAGTTGTCTGCAACAGATATTTCCTGTCCCAAAAGCACTTCACGAAGTGAGACAAAATCTCCACAAAGTGAGAATTCCCCTGGTATATCGTTATCACCAGAACAGATATTTACTGTTTCACAGACAACAGGAAGTGAGAAAATCTTCCTAAAGTGAGGGGAAGTACCTGTTATAAAGGTTGTCTCTGGAACAGATATTTCTTGTCCCAAAAACACTTCACAAAGTGTGACAAAATCTCCCCAAAGTGAGGGGATTTCCCTGTTATACCGTTGTTACCCGAACTGATACTTCCTGTCCCAAAGACAACAGGACGTGAGACAAAATCTCCCCAAAGTGAGGGGGATTCCCTGTTATACCGTTGTCACCCAAAACTGATACCTCCTGTCCCAAAGGCACAACAGGACGTGAGACAAAATCTCCCAAAAGTGAGGGGATTTCCCTGTTATACCGTTGTCGCCCGAACTGATACTTCCTGTCCCAAAGGCACAACAGGAGGTGAGACAAAATCTCCCCAAAGTGAGGGGGATTCCCGTTATACCGTTGTCACCCGAACTGATTCTTCCTGTCCCAAAGGCACAATAGGAGGTGAGACAAAATCTCCCAAAAGTGGAGGGATTCCTCTGTGATACCGTTTGTCACTAGAAAAGACACTTTCTGTCCAAAATGCAACAGGAAATGAGACAACAATCTCCCCAAAGTGAGGGGAATTCACCTGTTATACTGTTGCCACCAAGACAGATACTTCCTGTTCCACAGACACAACAGGAAGTGAGACAAAATCTCCACAAAGTTGATGGATTCACCTGTGATATTGTTGTCACTAGAATGGATACTTCCTGTCCCAATGAAACAACAGGAAGTGAGAAAAATCTCCCCAAAGTGAGGGGGATCCCTGTAATACAGTTATTAACATAAGGGATACTTCCTGTTCCACAGACACAACAGGAAGTGAGACAAATTCTCCCCAAAGTAATTTAAATGAATTTTAGGACTCTTCCACACTGGATGCAGTGCCCTCTGAAAAGCAATTCACAGTGGATGGCTTCCCATAGGACAGTATTGGAGCAGAAGACAGGCATTCAGGAGGCAATCCTGCCACCTCCCAAATTCCTGTTTTGTTTTTTTTAATCCAGTGGGGATGTTGTAATACAATAAAAAAATAAATCTCACAGCATCCACTAGCCAAGCATTTGGGTCGCGGTTGCAGCATGCTCCCATCAACCTCAATAGATGAGTTTGAGAGCCATTGGCACCCGTCAAGCTCTGCAGGTCGAGTTCAAATTTCCATGAAACAAAGCATCATGGGCCCAGCCTGTGTGCAGCCCTGTCTGTAATGTTAGAATTTAGTTGGGTGGCGGGGGGGGGGTGGTAAAGCTGTAGCTCAGCCCACTATTTTTTTACCGCCAGATATTAACCCCTTCCTGCCCAGTGCCATTAGTCCAGTGTCAGTGCTTTTTATTAGCACTGATCACTGTATTGGTGTCACTGGGGATGGGGATGTCAGTGACACCAAGTCAGTCCCCCCCCCCCCCCCCCCCCAGTGTCAGAATGCCTGCCGCAATCCTGCTATAAGTCGCTGATCGCCGCCATTACTAGTAAAAATTTAAAAAAATCCCATTATCTATACCGCCATTTGTAAACATAACTTTCACGTAAACCAATTAATTTACACGTATTGGGATTTTTTTTTACTAAAGACATCTCGCAGCATACATTTTGGCCTAACTTTATGACGAAATTTGATTTAAAATTTTATATTGGATATGTTTAATAGCAAAAAGTCAAAAATATTGTTTATTTCTCAAAATTGTCAGACTTTTTTTTTAATAGCATACAAAATTAAAAACGCACAGGCGGTCAAATACCACCAAAAGAAAGCGCAATCCGTGGGAAAAAAAGGACATAAATTTCATTTGGGTGCAGCATTGCATGACCGCGCAATTGTGAGTTAAAGTAACGCAGTGCCGTATCGCAAAAAATGGGCTGGTCAGGAAGGGGGGGAAATCCTATGGAGGGCAAGTGGTAACACTGGGCATGTTTTTTTTTTTATTACTTTTATTCTGTTCTATAACCTCCTAAAGTGTCTGCTCACTTTCTGCATGCGATGATTGCTGATGTTTCTGGTATACTCCCCCACGTGACACTGACCAGGGAGTTTCAACAGACGGAAAACTCTATGACATCGTCATCATGTGACATGGAAAGTGAGGCTGGCTGGTGACTCATCGAAAGAGGAAGTGTAATAAGAGCTGTGATGTAAACTTCATGGAGTGCAGCCCGAGGATTTGTAGGTCACCTGGTAATTGTTAGTGGTTAGGTCACAAAATGAACATTGCAAATGCAAATTTATATGATAAAATGAGTATTTATAATATATTTACACCTATATTTACTTATTTTGGACAAAATCTCCATTATTCAGAGATTCGTATGTATCTGAATTTTGGAATTACAATAGTAACAAATTTAAACAAGTCCAAAATTTGAATCGAATTCAAAATGAATTAGAAATAGAATTTGAAAACAAATTTGAACTGCAAACATATTGCTCACTTCTTTCAAAGACTACGTGTATTTGTGTTAGAATATAGCCATCTTCTGAAATTTGAATTTTGAAAAGAATAGAATAAAACAGAATACAGCAGAAAAAAGGAATCGACTAGAATAGAATAGAAAAGAGTAACATTGAAAAAATTTTAAGAGAAAGAATAGAATAGAAAGGATATAGCGATGCTCCAAAATTTAGATTTAGAATAGAAAAAAGTAGAGTAGAATAGAATTAATATATCTGTCTTCTGAAATTCAAATTTTGAACAGAATAGTAAGGAAAATAAAAGAAAAAAAAGGAATAGACAGCAATAGAATAGAATAGAAAGAGTAAAATTGGAAAAATAACGTATCCAAGGTTCCCAAACCTTAAGGAATCTCGGATGAGAATCTTGAAAAAAGCTAGACATCTGTTCATTGATTAGCATAGCATTCATCCGGGTCTTCACCCCCTGGAAGACAACCAAAGGGGTTCTCCAAACATGAGCTATAGCACGTTTGGCCGAAATAAATAGGTAAGATACCAATTTCTGCTGAGACCTAGACAGACCCAAAATTGGGCAATGCAGGAGGGCCACCCTTGCATCCCTACGGACCGTAATATGAAATAGCATTTGTAGCAAACCAAAGACCCTAGATCGGAAGCCTATCAGTCGCGGGCACGACCACAAAATGTGCAAGATGTCCCCACGTAGAACACAGTTCCAGAAACACCTATCTCTGTCAGTTGGATTAAAGTGAGCAGTCCGGGCCGGGACCCAGTACCACCGCAGGAGAACTTTATAGGCTGCCTCAAGAGTGATGGTATTGAAGGAACATTTCGCCACCATCCCCCAGGCCCTACGCCAATCCTCCGCCACAATCGAGAAACCCAGATCTCGCTCCCATTGAGAGACATAAGACAGGGGTGGTGAGGAGGACCTACCGTTAGGGCCCATTTTTCAATCCCTTATGTGGGTATGCATTTGACCCCTTCTATCGATACTCTATATAAGGCCAACTACCCCCCACTTTTTCAAAGGGTGTGTTTGGACCTGCATAGATGGGTCTCCTACTCTTTGTCCTGGTTTGGATGAATCAATACAGTAAAGATGAATATATTACCTCGGCTGCTCTATTACTTTAGAACCTTGCCTATAGCTATTTCTAGACAAGATTTATTGAGACTCCATAACAAGATTTCTCAATTTATTTGGGGGAGCAAGCGTCTTAGAATGAACCGTCTAACGCTGTAAAAACCAAAATCACGGGGCAGGTTGGGCGTTCCAAATCTTTTAGCCTTTTATCAGGTGGCACAAACTACTCAGTTGGCCTACACCACTGCAGTGGGCCCCA